CACGAGGCCGCCCCTCCCCCCGCGGAGGTCAAGGTGAGGGGGGGGAGGGGAAGGGTGGGGGAGGGGCGGGCACCCCCCACCCCTCCCCCCACGCCGCCCCCTGCCCTCCCCCACCGCCCCCTCCCCAAAATTCCCGGGATTTCCGGGGTTTTGGGGGATTTTTGGGAGGGGGGAAATTCAGGGCGTGGCCGCGTGGGGGGAGGGGCGGGCGGGGGAGGGGCGGGATTTTGGGGAGGGGAATTGGGGAAATTTGGGGAAATTTGGGGAAAACGGGAAATTTGGGGAAATTGGGGAAATTTGGGGAAAACGGGAAATTTGGGAAAATAATTGGGGAAATTTGGGGCGAGGGGTTTGGGGATTTGGGGGATTTTGGGATTTGAGATTTTGGGGATTTGGGGATTTTGAGAATTTTGGATTTGGGATTTGGGGATTTTGGGGATATTGGGGATGTTGGGATTTGAGATTTTGGGGATTTTGGGATTTTTGGATTTGGGGATTTGGGGATTTGGGATTTGAGATTTTGGGGATTTTGGGATTTTGGGGATTTGGGGATTTGGGGATTTGAGATTTTGGTGAATTGGGGATTTTGGGGATTTGGAGATTTTGGGATTTTTGGATTTAGGGACTTGGGGATTTGGGATTTGAGATTTTGGGGATTTGGGGATTTTGGGGACGAAGAGGGATTTGGGGAGGAAATGGGGGATCTGGACTCCGGGAATTTGGGGTGAGATTCGGTGATTTGGGGTGGAATTTGGGGGGGGAAATGGGGAATTTTGGATGGGGGGGAAAGGGGGAATTTTGGGGAGAAAAATGAGGGAATTTTGGGGGGGGGAAGGAGGAATTGGGATTTGGGGATTTGGTGATCTGGGAGCAGAGTTTTGGGGATAAAAGGGAGGATTTGGGGATAAAAGGGAGATTTTTGGGATAAATAGGAGGATTTGGGGATAAAAAGGAGGATTTTGGGGATAAAAAGGAGGATTTGGGGATAAAAGGGAGGATTTTTGGGATAAAAGGGAGGATTTTGGAAATAAAAGGAGGATTTGGGGATAAAAGGGAGGATTTTGGGGATAAAAAGGATGATTTGGGGATAAAAGGGAGGATTTTTGGGATAAAAGGGAGGATTTTGGAAATAAAAGGTAAGTTTTTGGGGATAAAAGGGAGGATTTTGGCAGAGCTTTGATCGGAGGAAGGAATTACAGGGTTGAGCTTTGGGATTTGGGGCCAAACTGGGGATTTTTGGGGCAAGAAGTGTAGAATCCATGGATTTTGGGGACAAAGAAGGGATTTTTGGAGGACTCAGGTCCTGTTTTTTGGGTGTGAACCCCGGATTTTTGGGGGGATTGTGCCCTGGTTTTTCTGGGTGCAAATCCCAGAGTTTTGGGGTACTTGAGTTCCGGGGTTTTTTTGTGTTGTTTTGCAGATTTTTGGGACACTTGGGCCCCGTTTTTTTGGGTGCAATCCCCGGATTTTCGGGGCGCTCGTTCCCCGTTTTTTTTGGGTGCAATCCCCGGATTTTTGGCGGGTGCGAGCCCCGTGTTTTTGGGGTATCTTTCCTTGCTTTGCTGATTGTCGCCCCGTCCCCAGCACCTCCTGGAGACGCCTTTCGGGGTGCTCCACGCCTGGGTCTCGGGGTGCCCCCGGCCCGGCCGCCCCGCCCTGGTGACCTTCCCGGACGTGGGGCACACGCGTGAGTCCCCCCCCCCCCCCCCCCCCCCCCCCCCC